AGAGAGAGAGAGAGAGAGAGAGAGAGAGAGAGAGAGAGAGAGAGAGAGAGAGAGAGAGAGAGAGAGAGAGAGAGTCCTTGAATGTTGTTTGTTTCAGAGAATCTCGCAATCGACCCACGAACAATAGTCTAAGAGGGATTACAGAAATACCGGTACTATGTAATACTTTGGAAACAGAAATGCCGGTACTATGTGATAATTTGGAAACAGAAACACCGGTCGAAACATGGAACTCGAAACATAAATACCGGTTTGGAACTCGTAGCATCGGTGATCGGCTTTACAAACTCTTTAACTCTGGGCCGGCGGACAGCCGTCGATACCACGATGACTAGAACGACTTCGCAGACATAATTAATGATTACGCTAATGTATCCGACCTCAAAACCGTCTTCAATACATTCGTCAAACGTACGTATACCTCCTCTCTCTTTCTTTCACCATAACACACCTCATCTATATAATATACAAGCTCAAAAAAAAAAAAAGAAAAAAAAAAGGACTTCTCCTGACGTGATGTGCTGATAACACCATGTCTGATGTGCACATTGTTGTCGACACTCCAAGATTGCAGCCAGATACATCTATAGACTTCTGAACGTGATTGGTTCTGCTTCTGGACGTGATTGTGGTCAGATTCGTCTATAGACATCTGGACGCCATTGCAGTCAGCAGATTCGTATGTAGAGAGCTCCACAAATCGACGGCTGTTTTTTTTTTTTTTTTTTTTTTTTTTTTAATAAAACTGCTTTATTTTCGTTTTAGAGATTTCCACCGATCGGCGGCTGCATTTCGTTATTTTTTTTTTCTGTTAAGATAAAATTCCACGAATCGGCGACTGCATTTCGTTACGTCGACACCCCCAGATGCGGAAAAAAAAAAAAAAAAACTAATTAATTAATTAGTTAATTAATAACTACATGAAACAGTAATTATTAATTAACGTATAATTAAAAAATCAGAAAAGAGACTGCATTGAGGTTATGGGCTTCGCTCTTCTACTCACGCAGCACTCGTTCCGGCCTTCGTCCCGACTTCCGAAAAGACTTCGATGGTCGCGATCTGCTGCTGGATGCATCTGACCGCAATCACGTCCAGGAGAGCTTAGTTGATGAAAAGCAGTCATAGGCGAAGTATTCCCTCATATTATATGATCATTACCACTCACGCAGCACTCGTTCCGCCGCTCGTCCCGACTTCCGATCACAAGACTTGAATGATCGGGATCTGGCAATCTGCTGCTCCGTCGATGAGGGCACTCCAACAAGATGGGAACACTCTCTCTCTCTCTCTCTCTCTCTCTCTCTCTAAGTTACTGTTGAAGTACCAGACACTTGGGTGCATCTCCTCTATATTGCATCTACATTGATCTCGATCTCTCTCTGCATGTATCTGACCGCAATTAGAGTCGGAGCTGGATGCATCTGAGCGCAATCACGTCCAGGAGAGGTGAGTTGATGAAAAGAAGTCCCCGAACATAACGCACCCTAAAAATGAATGTATACGAGCTATATTTTCGGCCAGATACAGCCAAAATGAGGGTGCGTTGTGTTCGGGGAAAGACGGAAGGCGAAGTATGCTCTCATATTACTAGTAGTATATGATCATCTGATCGTTACCACTCACGCAACACTCGTTGCATCGCTCGTCCCGACTTCCGACAAGGCTTGGATGATCGGGATCTCCTGCTGCTCCGTCGTCGATGCGGGCAATCCGGCGAGATTGGGAAGAATGTCTTGAAGCTCGTGTTGAAGGACCAGAAACTCGGGCGCATCTTCTATTCCCTCTACATTGATCTCGTTCTCTCTCTGCATGAATCCCAAGCCTTCCACGACAGAGGGGCGCAGCCTCTGTCGATCGTATTGGGCCAAGCGGGTGAGGGCCGTGCAGGCGTAGGTTTTGGTCCTCGACGTCTCTCCGCGATGGAGAAGCGCAGCTAACCAGAATGCCGCGACGGTCATTCCGGCCACAGGCCCCTCGTCTATTGTGTTGACGTCAATCTGGATGGCGCGCGTCGTTGATTGGTCGTCGAGGACCACCTCGTCGATCTCCACGGTCAGCAGATCGAAACACGTGGCAAGGAGGTAGGCCATCAAGCGCGCGGGGCAGCGGAAGAGGTGCCGCACAGTCGGCGGGCGACTGAGCGGAGCGGTGAATTGGCGCCAAGAGGAGCTGGCGGCGATGCGCTCGATGCCCAGGCGCAGCGCGAAGTGCGGTCCCATCCACTGCTCGAGCTCCAGGCGCAGCAGATGCAGGAACAACGTGCTGTCGTCCTGTTCGATGAGTCTCGGAAGGAAGTCTACGGTGGTGGAGGTGTTAGGTTGATCTAGGTAGGACAAGAGGAGATCGCTGGTGAGCATGGCGGTGTAGAGGAGCTCGGGCGCAGTGGTGTAGTAGCGGACCTGTAAGATGCGCGCCAACTCTTTGGCCTCGAAGGGGAAGAGATTGGCCGCTCCCAGCTCGTAATAACACTGCAGGATGACGGCGATGAGCTCTTTGCCGTCGGTGGAGCTGGCGTGGGAGAGCGCAAGTCCGATCAGCCGCGGGAGCGCGCGGGACTCGCGGAAGGCCGCGCGCGCGGGGGGCACCCAGAATCGCTGAGGACCGCGGTAGCCCTCGATGCCGCGGACGGGCTCCCGACGCCGCCCCTCCCGCGCGATCGCCCCCACCAACAACCCTCGGTAATCTCGAATCTCGCGCAAGCGCGTGTAATGCGCGTACGGCGCCGCGCAATCCGCCATCAACCGACTGAGAAGATACAACGTATCGAGACACGTTCTTCCAGTCGGTCCGTTGGTCGCCAGCTCAACCAACTCTTCGATTCGAGCTTTCCCCTCCACTCCGGAGAAGAGACACTCCGCCACCATGCGGTGATTGCGACACAGGCGCCAAAGCGCGCCGACGGCCTTCTCCTGCATGAGCGGAGAGGATTTGCGCACCGCCGCGTCGAGCAGAACGAGCCCGGCCTTAGCCAGCCGCGGAGAGGAGGTAACGTTCCTGAGCGGGTCGTACATCCTCTGCCCATTCTCCTCCGCCATGTCCGCCAACCTACTCATATTCGTTAATTGCCAGACAATCAAGACGGCGCGCTCTCGGCATGGCAGAGACGCGTGATCGGTGATCACATTCACTATCCGGTCGAATCCACCTCGATCGGCATCAACGATTAACTCGCAGGCGAAGGGATCAGCAGACTGGACAACGCGGCCGAGAGCATCCAAGGCCATCTCCTGATAAACGGCTGCGCTCACTCCCTCATCAACATTGCGGGACAGAGCAATGGCAATGAGCTCTCTCAAGCTCAGGAACCAATGGCCAGGCAGACCACAGTTGCAGTCCTCTCTGCGGAAAGCGCACACAGGAAGAAGTTTAGGATGGCGATGGCAGTGGAAATACCAGACGAGTGCTGGTACTTCTCTCAGCGCTCGTTCCTCCTCGTCAGCTTCCGGGCATCGAGGAGGAGGAGGAGGAGGAGGAGGAGGAGGTGGGTGGATCGGATTCTGAGCCTGCTGCGCATTCTCCCCGTCCGCTTGATTGCTTTCTCCTCCCGCTCCTCCTCCTCCGCTTCCTCCTTCCCCGCCGGCGCGGCCTTCGGCTGACGCTTCTGCCGCTGCCTCCCCTCCTGAGGCTGCGGCTTCTCCCGCCCTCTGCATTCCTTCCCCTTCCCCCGTCAGAGTCTCCGCTGCTGCTCCTCCCCCGCTGGCGGAGACGGCGGGGGGGGAAGGGGGGGAGCGGGGCGGGGGTGCGGTGGCAGGAGGACCGGGCGCAGGGGCCGGGCTGGGCGGAGAAGCGGGCACGGGGGCAACTCCCCCTGCGCCGGCTCTCAAGGGGAGAACGCGCACGCGCTGCCGCCTTGCCGCCACCATTCTCTTCAACGGCAGGGTAACAGAGTAGTAAAAGATCGAGAAAGGGGTAATGATGAAAATGACACAGGAGAGAAGGATCTGCGCGAAAACCGCGGCGTACGCGAAATGTATCAGCTGTTCCAGTCTCCGAACCCCCGCCTTTGCCTCCCCCCCCCTCTTCCCTTGCGTATGGACCAGGTACACCAGCAAGATGGACAGCGTCAGCTGCGCGAGCGTCCCCCCCAGTCGAAGCGCGCCAGCGGCGCGCAGGTACCCGTAGTGCGCTTTGCCCTGCGCAAGCTGTAGCATCATCAACGAGCAGGGAACGTCTCTCACGTAGTAATCCTCGATGAACTTTCGCGTTACCTTCACCGCCGCCTCGACTAGAAAAATGGCCATCGCGACCCGGAGGATCCCGATCCGGAGCCACATACCAGACTGAGATGCAAGGATAATACCGTACGTAGAGAGAGCCAACCACCCCAGAATACTCTCCCCACCCTCGAGTAGAATTACCGCCCGGATTCGGCGCTTCGTCTTATTCGAAGGAGGGTTGATGTTCTCCTGCAGTAGATCCAGAGCGGCGTGATTGACAGCGTCCATGATGAGAGAGATCGGCCGCAGGAAAACGACAAAAAGTCCTTAAGGATTACACCGCCACACCACACTCCGCTAGGTGAACAAGGGACTGACTCTCATTTGGAGACAGAAGAGGAGCGGGAGGGAGGACAGGAAGGGGAGGGAGGGAGGAGGGAGGATGGAGGAGGGAGGAGGGGGAAGGTAATGGGTGTGGGGATAAGCAATTTCCCGTGGCGAGAGGGGGGGTAGAGAATCCAATCCAGTGTCAGTTACAACGAGTTCCACAGAGACTACCGCTGCGTATAAGCATGTGTATGTTCCTTCCAAGAATCGAACACACAAGCTATGGCTTGCTAGGCCGGCACCTAATCAATAGGCTAAGTGGGCTGAGGACACCTAATCAATAGGCTAATTGGGTTGGGACAACACCTAATCAATAGGCTAAGTGGGTTGGGGTATCAAGTGTGAAGTGAGGAAGCGATATGGGAGGAACACACAAGCTATGGCTTGCTAGGCCGGCACCTAATCAATAGGCTAATTGGGTTGGGGTATCAAGTGTGAAGTGAGGAAGCGAGATGGGAGGATTCGTTAACGGGGCTCGTGCAACAGGATTACACGACATGAGAGAAGAGTCTAATAAGATTAGCATGCACCTGCGCAAGGACGGCACGCATAAATCAAGAAATGACAAAAAAAAAAAGAAAAAAAAAAAAGGAAGAAGAACACGAAGAAGAGAAATCACATGTTTGTTTCCTATTGGAGGGTATATGCGGCGCGCCTGTCATCAATCGGCTCGATCGATCGCGTTGATGACAATCAAGCTGCTTCATCAATCATCAATCGATCGATAAAAAAGCCGATGCCAATGAATCAATCGATTACTAGTCAGTCATCAATCAGTCGATGGAATGGATAACAATCAATCAATCAATGGAGTGGATCAAAATCAACCAGTGCAGTGGATGACAACCAATCAAATCGATCATTCATTCATCGATATCCATAAAGTCGATGATAATCCACTCGTCAATCAATCGATCAGGTCAATGACAATTAATCAAGCTGATCAATCAAGCATCAAATCGATCGTTGAACGCGATGACAATCAATCAATCAATCAATCAATCAAATAATCAATGGACCCCTCAGTCACCGATCAATCGATGGAGTGGATGCAAATCAACGAAGTCAATCAATCAGTCATCGATATCCAACAAGTCGATGACAATCAATCATCAATCAATCGAGACGGTCCGTGACAACCAATCAATCTCATCAATCGATCGATCAATCAATCCATCAATCAAATCAATCAAATCAATCAAATCAATCGACCACTCATTCATCGATCAATCGATGGAATCGACTCCAATCAACGAAATCAGTCATCGATATCCAACAAGTCGATGACAAGCAATCATCAAAATCAATCGATGAATTCGATGACAACCAATAATCAATCGACCGATGAAGCCGATGATAATCAATCAATCGACTAATTTGTCATCGATCGACCGATCGATCGATCGACCGATCGATCGATAGATCGATGAAGTCGATAAAAATCAATCAAGTCTTATCAATCAGTTACCGATCGATTACGCACTTCGATCAATCAGTCATCGATCGTTCGATCACTCCGTCGATCAATCAACCGTTGATAGATCGATCACTCACGTCATCAATCAACATACTTAACTTAGTTCGATCGGTCGATTACCGAAATCAATCAAACAATTCGTTAATCAACCAACCGATATAAATCAATCATCGATCGATCACCTGGAGGACCCCGTACAACAATTACTCAACATGGATTCATCTGCTTATTGACCTAAAAATAGCAAACACTACATCAATCAATCAATCAATCAATCAATCAATCAATCAATAAGGCGAAGTAATTTATTAATTAATTTATAAATTAATAAAATTATAATCTAGACGACAAAATAAACGTCTTCGCGGCGATCTACACGACTAGGAACAAAACCAAGATTTCTCTGTCAGTAAAAAAAAAAAAAAAAAAAAAAAAAAAATGATTTTTTCTATCTTTGGTAATCTAAATTTGAAGGGGAAGTACGTGTATCTGGACGCGAATAATATTCTTATTCCTTTACTGAACAAAAGAGGAAAAAAAAAAAGATTTCTACCGGAAAAAAAAAACAGGTAAAAATATTGCTCTACAGATTCAAGAAAAGCTAGAAATGAAATTTATTCTTAGTTTATGATTAACAAAAAAAAAAAAAAAAACTGATCACCTGCAGAGGATAGTATGACAAACATTCCCGAGGGAAAAAAAAAAAAAAAAAAAAAAGTCAAATCTTATTTGAGCGCAATTTGTATGTATGTGGTCGGGATCGAATCCCTGTTCAGCGGCTGAAAGTGCTCAAGCCGATCCGCTGCTAACGGAACTTCCAAAGAGAAGCAGGTAATTGCCCCAGCATAAAAGGGGAGGAAATATCTAAAGGGGGGGGGGGGAGGCTCTATTAAGGCATAAATTTGTATGTATGTGGTCGGGATCGAATCCCTGTTCAGCGGCTGAAAGTGCTCAAGCCGATCCGCTGCTAACGGAACTTCCAAAGAGAAGCAGGTAATTGCCCCCAGCATAAAAAGGGAGGAAATATCTAAAAAGGGGAGGAAATATCTAAGGGGGGGGAAGGGGGGGGGGAAGGCTCTAAAAAGGCATAAATTTGTATGTATGTGGTCGGGATCGAATCCCTGTTCAGCGGCTGAAAGTGCTCAAGCCGATCCGCTGCTAACGGAACTTCAAAAGAGAAGCTGGTAATTACCCCACAGTTGAAAAGGGGAGGAAATATCTAATAAGGGGGGGGGGGGGGGGGGAGGCTTTAAAAAGGCATAAATTTTACCCTGCTGCAGGGAGAAGGCGGGAGAAAAATCGAAAACGTGTAGGGGGAAAAATTCACAAAGGGGGAAAGCACTCCAAAGGCATTAATTTGCACCTGCCATAGCAATAAAAAGGCGGAGAAATGTCTAAAAAGGGGAAAAAAGATCTAACGGGGGAGGGGGGTGGGGAAGCTTGACAAGGCAATAATTTTACCCTTCCATACCCAAAAAAAGGGGAGAAATATCAAAAAAGTGGGCGGGAAAGATTCACAAAGGGGGGAAAAAGCACTCCAAAGGCATTAATTTGCACCTGCCGTAGCAATAAAAAGGCGGAGAAATATCTAAAAAGCGGAGAAAAGAGATCTAACGAGGGGGAAACTCTTGATGGGGGGGGGAAGGTAGGGGGAGGCGGGGGGAAGCTCCACAAGGCAAGAATTTTAACCTTCTATAGCGAAAAAAAGGGAGGGGGGAATATTTAAAGAGAGGGGGAGGAGAGAGGAGATCTAAAACGGAAGGGAGAGAAAAAGCTCCACAAAGAAAGGCATCAATTTTGATCTTACGTTACCCCCCCCCGTTTGTTGACGTCATCCCCCAAAAGCACACTCATTAAACAGATCTATCTACAAATTTTTAGATCGCTATTCGCTATTAATATAAAAAATTGCTATTAATATTTAAAAAATTGCTATTACTAGAAAAAGTTGCTATCAATATAAAAAAAAAGTTGCGATTAATAATAATAAAAAAGTTGAAAAGGATAATTAACCGAAATTTACCCTTATTGTCGAAACTTCAGGGGAAAGGCCATCGACAGTTCATGGAAGTATCATCGAAAACTCACTTGCCTCCCCCCCACTGCCGATCTACGCTCATCTAACGATTGTTTATAGTCTACGGGCATCGGAGAGTAGTTTACCCCACCTCTCCTCCCCTCCCCTCCCCTCGTTCATCAATACACTTAACCATTACCATCAAGAGGTTAATGAATCAACAATAACCAACAAGAAGGCTAATTCATCAACAATATATATATATATATAACTCCGACGAAACAGTTTGTCACAGCCCCTCGTTTGTTGTCCTCTTCTCCCTCTCTGCCTACGGTTTACCGGGCAGTTCTGTTTGTGACGATATATATATATATAACCAACAAGAAGGTTAATTAATCAACAATAACCATGAAGAAGACTAATTAATCAACAATAACCATGAAGAAGGCTAATTAATCAAAAATAACCATGAAGAAGACTAATTAGAAATCAACTATTGGCATCAGCAGACAAACTTCTCAATAGAAACAATCCTCCTCATCAAAAGCTAATCAAATTTCCATCGTACGTCGGCTTTTACCGGGCCGGGCCTTTTCAGAGGGTCAATTACACTAGGTTAATTAATCAAGAGTAGTTACTGTACCCTCATCAAAGCTCTAACCACTAAGTTAAACATTAACCCATCAAAGAGGTTAATCAATTACCCACCCACACTCTTCACAATCAGCAGAGGGAAGCGACAACCTGATGATCATCCTGAAACGAGTTACAAAAGCCATCGACATCGATAGACAGCTCTCTTCTAAACATCAATGGAGAAAGGGGGGGGGGGGAAGGAGAAAAAAAGGAAAAAAAAAGGAGAAAATACCGACGAATAAGTGAGAAAAAAGGGAGAAAAAAGGGAGAAAAAATACGCAAAAAACGAGAGCGGAAAAAGTGGGAAAGAAGGGGAGGAAAAAGCAGAAACACAGGAGAACAGAAAAAACGAGAGCGGAAAAAGTGGGAAAAAGCAAACATTCAATACCCCTAGGTTATTTGAGAGATCCAAGGGGGGTGGGGGGGGGGGGGGGGCTTTAAAGGGGGGGGGGGGGGGAACAGTTCAGTTCTGTTCTGCTTTGTAGTAGGATGAGAGGGGATTACCGAAAAATTAATTAATTTAATATCGATGATCCGGTCCCAGGTTCCACTAGCAGTAGCAGCAGCGTTGAGTTTTCCTCGACGCCTGCATCCGGACGTGTCTGGGGATATGTGCAGAAATCGCGTTGAGTTTTCTCAACCGCACGTCTCCACGAACGCG